GTGGTGCTGTGGTTTATGGACTACAGGTTTGGAGGGAGGTGTGACACTAACAATGTGACTTTATGCCATGTGGTATCTATTTTGCTTTTGTCCTTTCATTCCTACAAAATAGGGAACATAGACACAATTGTTTTTGTCTTTTCGTCCACTTCATCCAGAGGAAAGTGGACTAGTGGAGTCAATGAGCCTTAACTCATTTAGTGCTCACTATATTGGCTGGTAATGTAGTTTTCCTTAAGAAATATGCTTGAAACAAGCCAAACTAACTGCAAATAATAGGTCACATAACATCAACACATACATATGTATTTTCATTGGACCCTAGGTGGCTGCCTGCCTGCCTCTGCCTAGTATAAAGACCGCCCCTGTTTAAATTGCAATTTTGAGTAATAAAAAGTACTGGAAATGTGCTGGCATATTTTATGTGTTTATTTAGCCCACATATTCTGAACTTTGGGTTAAAAAAAGACCTAAAAATATCAGGCCAAAAAATCAGACAAATTGGCAGCGAGGGGAAATCTTGAGAGTTGGGCTTATTTTATTTTATAACACTGCAGCATTATATGCTTAAGAATTGTACTATTTTATGGATAAACAATAATAATAATGATATTGGTCTGTTATATGAAAATCACGTTACCACATCATTATTATTTGTACTAAAGAGTTTGTACACTTTAAGACCTTTTTTTGTGAATTATCCAAATTAGTGTATAACTGCAGCATTTGATTCAAATAGATTCTAGTTAGTGTGTCATGCATTCTGCCAGTCCTCAGATGGACAAGAACTGCATTCCCCAGAATCCACTGGGGAATCAAGAGGCAGAGCTATTTCCCTCGCTCTCGCGTTCAGACTTGAACTCCATTTCCCAGACTCCTCAGCAAAGTCACATGACTCCGAAAAGGTCCTCGTCCTCCTATCATTGGTCAAGTTCACCTGAGTACTAATGAATGGCAGCTGTGTATATGTCATATGACTTGTGTATATTGTATATTGTATAGTGTATATTGCTTAATTTCTGTTTATTATTACTAATTCTTCAAGATGTGTTCCAGACCTTGAACTCTTATATAGAACACAATATTGACATAGCAGTGATGTACTCAATCTTTTTGGCAAAATATCATGAACGTGTACTTATTTTTTTACAAAAAAAGACATACTGAATTTAAAATCGACTTAACTTTTAACATTTTTTTTTTTAACTCCACTTCAGAAACACAGTCACTATAATAACTTTTTATCATTTGAGAAATATTGCTAAAGTTCAGCCTTTTCTATGTAAGAGTGATGCAGAGAAACTTGTTCGTGCGTTTGTTATAAGCAGAGTTGATCACTGTAATGCTCTTCTTACTGGACTTCCTAAGAAAACGATCTATCCTGTGCACCTCATACAAAATGCAGCAGCACAAATCCTAACAATAATAAAACAGAGAGATTATATCAGTCCCATTTTGAAACAGCTGTGCTAACTACCTGTATCTTTCAGGATAGATTTAAAACTTCTGCTAATAGTTTTTAAGGCTCTAAATGACCTTAAAGCACCACTTACATCACAGCGTGCCTTCTATGATTAGAAATTAGTACTCATAATTAAACTCAATATTACTGTTAAGATTTATCAACCGCCTAAGCTGCTACCAGCATGCTTTGTTTATATAAATAAAGATTATTATTTAAGATTATTACAAAAAGAGTTTGAGGTATCGCACATCTCTCAAAAAGAAGCACATCACATAAAAAATGCTTGCCAGTAATGCTATCTGATTGCTGTATGCTCTTGGTAGCCCTTGTCTGGTTTGTATTAGAATAAAAAAGGAATTACCCGTCATTAGTCCAGTGCCGGGGAGCTTAGATCTTCTAAGCCGCTTCTCCTTCTGGGGTCGCAGGGGGAGCTGGAGCCTATCCGAGTAGTCATTGGGTGGAAGGCAGGATACACCCTGGACAGTTCACCAGTCCATCGCAGGGCTTTTTAATCTACATGTCAAACAAAAAATATAAAAGTAAGGCAGCAGCAGGGGCATAGCTAGAACTTTCAGAATGGGGTTGCCAGATAAGACCCAGAAATTTCATTGTGGTGGAACGCTATGAATAATTTTAAATGAAATTTTAATTTAAATTTAAAATTTAAAATACATAAACTGTGTTAAAATGACATGAATTTTATATAGACAGGCTACAGAAGTTATTCATTTAGTTTGCGTTTACTGCAGATTAAACTTGAGTGTAATGATTAGAAAGCTAGCCAGACCACTCTGTGCACTATACACTGTAGCACTGTATTCTACCATAAAAGAGTCATTATATAGCATGATAAATTGTTATATCTGACTAATTTTTGATAGTCAACTGATCTCATCTTTGAATAGCCTCACTGTAGCTCATAGAGCAGTGCTGAAGTGATCCAGTGTACATTCACTCACCTGTTTGCTGAGTAAATTAGCCAATCACAGCAAGATTGGCTGTGTCTGAATGAAATAAACACTGCCTACTCTTACAGTATTGTGAGGCAGGAAGGCACCCAGTCATGTCTTAATCAAATGTTTATATAAAATGCTGTCTGCTGAGGTTCCTTCATTCAGGCGTTTTCTGAAGGCAGTTCATATGTATCCTCCACTGCCTTAAATATCCCATAATCTTTTGCTTCAGTGATGCGGTTAGATAAAAACTTTTCTCTTGGTAAAAGATGCTAAGGTCTAATGCTAGCAGCTAGCAGTGAGCTGTTGGTATCTTGGTAACGACATGACATATTGCTGCTTTAGGACATTTGGGAACTGAAGACAACAATTGATCCAGTCTTGAAAGTGGATTTTTTTACCGATCTTCAGTTAGTACACTGCAAAATATGGTATTTTGTCAAGTAAAATTATCTTACATAAAGTCAAGAAATCTAATATTTCTCCTGTTGAGATAGTTACAAGCTTAATTTAAGACATTTTTTCTTGTTTTAAGTAATTTTATTAAGTAAAATTATCTCACAATATTGGCATGAAATTTAGCTTGTTTAAGAAATGTACTTGAAGCCAGCAAAAGTATCTGTCAGTATAGTGAGATACTTTTACTTAATAAAATGACCTAAAACATGTAAAACATTTCTGGAAATAAGCTACATAACCTCATAATAAGTGCACAACCACCTCAAAATGGGAAATTTTAGATATATCGACATGATTTAAGATCATTCCCCTTGATAAAATGCTATTTTTGCAGTGTAAGTCTTTAGCTGTAAAGCCATAGAGGGCCTTCATTGTCATATTTTGCAATTCATGTTGCACCACAACATGCTGTTGTGACACATCCTGAATGTTTCTTGGTGCTGTCAAGTTGAAATTAACATGGATGTTAATGACAAAGATGGCATCTAAATTGCAGCAGATATAGCTCTTATATGTATATACATTCGCACTTGGGCAAGTTACCCACTCACAGACCCAAGTTACCCCATATAATGACAGACCCTGGATAGTAACAATCTACTTTACATTCATGACTACTAGCTCATTTACTTTTTTGGACCAGAGAACACAACATACATTATTTCCATAAACAATCTGAAAAGTTCACTCATCAGGCCACAACACACATTTGAACTGTGCATCACTTAATTTCAAATGAGCCCAGAGAAGTCAGCAGCATTTCTGGATGTTGTTGACAAATGACTACCACTTAGCATGGTACACTTGAACAACTTGCATTTGTGGATGCAGTGACTTGACAGTGGCAAGTATTTCCAAGCCCATAAGGTGATATCCATCTGAGAAACATGCTGTCTGAGGAATCAAAGGTCACAGGCACTCACTTGTGGTGTTTGGCCTAACTTTTTATGCACAGAAATTCTTTTCATTTTACTATTTAACATAGTAGTGAAAATTATCGCAAGCACTTGTTGACAGTTTTGGTGTCAAGCCTTGAACCAATACTCGCTCATAAAGGATTAAAGTTGTCCTGGATGCTCCTTTGCTACCCAAGCATGATTACATCACCTCTTTAAAAATTAGCATATATTTACAATAAATCAACTTGATAAGGTAGAACAGTAAATATCATGTTTTTGTACTGTTTTCAAATACATACAGGACAAAGTAGATCATAAAATCACTGCTTTCTGTTTTTATTTACATTTCACAACGGTTTTAGACTTGGATTTGTACAATGCAATAACAAAAAAGTAATAAATACATTATAATGCATTAAACACCTAAGTATCAAATGTCCATATCAACCAAGTACATTAGTAAAAATAGAAGATAATATTCCTTTGCAGGCATAATATTTAAAACAAATTAAAACAATGGCAACCATCATAAAAGGGCAAAGACCACCCATTTAACCCGCTTGACTAGAATTCAATATATCCTGAGGTATTTCTCTTGTGGAAATGGTGGTACATTATATTCACACTTTATGCATTACAAACTTGCATGACTAGCTTATTAGCTCTATGAGGCTAACCTAGCTGAAGACAAGTGTGTTCAGTTTGAAAAATCCACAGCTCACTGTCCCCATTACTTTTGTAATGTAGGTGCAATGAAGTTGTGAGTCAAAGTTGATGTAAGCATCAAGTGTAGAAACTAAGCCAGAGACTAAGATAGATAGAAAATAGACAAGGTGACTAGACAAACAATAACAAAAACAGTCAGAAAAAGAAATGAGCTACATATACAAGACAAACATGCCACTAGTGGACTACATGATGACACATTGAGGCTACAAACAAGACACTGGTGACTGGGATAATATTTCAGAAATTGAACCTAGAAGGAAACATTTGTTGTGTTCTTCTTTAATACTGCTGAGTAATTTAACCTTATTTTTATTTATATATGACTTGTTCATTTGTTTATTTGCCAATCAGGAAAGCAGCTATCAGCAGCGTCATGATCTTGAATGTTTTTTTGACATCGTAATCTGGTTGAACTTCATCTTTCACATATTTATGTATGAACTGTGTGCTAACTGTTGCTTATTGCACTGCTGATGAACTGATAGATGTGTTTACTTTTCCCCAGTAATGGCTCCTAAGCCATTAAAATCTCAGGCTTATTACATAATAAGGCTTTTTATTCATTAGCTACAAAGACTTCAGTGCTAACTGGCTGAATGCAAACTGGCTTTTTGGGTTATAGAAGTGTGTATAAAAACTTAATTTAAGAGATGAACTAATTTAATGCTACACTAATGAACAGTTAACTAGTACATAGATAATATTTCATGACTTATAGCAAATAATTCCCATCCTTGATGTTAAGGCTTGCCCTTTTTTTCTTTTATAAATTACAAGCCTTTACAGTTTTAGCTTCGGGCATCATTCTCCTCATAAAATCTAGTCATTTTGTACCTACAGTTAAAGCAAGCATTGTTACACTTTTTCGGGTGTAAATTATTTTTTTATTAGTTTTTTTGTGTTAAATAAACAAGTAAAATATTGTTTTCCTTTCAACTGTTCAAATTTGTCAAATGGCTGAACTTATGCTTTCCTCATCGGTGTTGACAACTGTCCCTTGGACTCCTTCCTGGCCCTCCTCCTCCTCCTCAATTGCATTCTCAATGTTGGACAGAACCGCATAACACTGCCTCTTAAAGTCCCTCCCCATGAACGCATAAAGAATCGGGTTCAAACAACTGTTGGCGTTGGCAAGAATGACGCCAAATAAATCTAGGATTTTGACAAAATTAAATTCTTTATAACGTATTCTTAAAAGAGAATAAAGATGAAAAGGCAACCAGCAGATGAGGAAAGCAGCTATCAGCAGCGTCATGATCTTGAATGGCTTTTTGGACGTCGCCATCTGGTTGAACTTCAGCTTTCGCATGATGATGACATAACAGATGACAATGATCAGGAACGGGATCACGAATCCAAAAATGAATCTGCAATACACTATGGCAAAATGGCTTTGCTCATTTATGCCAGTTCTTTTACATTGTGTCTTCTGTTTGTCCTGAATGTCTCGGAAAATGGCCGCTGGTGAGCTAAGTGCTGCTGAGACGATCCAAGTTAGAATGACTGTCACGACAGCCTTTCTTATGGTGCGCTTGTTCCGAGCCCATACAGGAAACATAACAACCACACAGCGGTCCACACTGATGATGACGAGGAGGAAGATGCTGCTGTACATGTTGAGAAGCTTGATGAAATACCGGAATTTACACATGAAGCGTCCAAAGATCCACTCATTTGTAACCTTTTGGACAACACCAAAGGGCAAGGTGGAGCACATTATGAAGTCGGACACGGCCAGACTCAGGTACCAGGTGGCGATGACGGACTTCTTCATCTTAAAGCCTGCAATCCAGATCACTAAACCATTTCCAGCAACACCCAGGACGAAGATGATCACATTCGCCACTGAGTAGATGATACAATTCACATCTGTGCAAGAAGAACTCATATTCAGACTTGTGTGGTTTTTAAAGTCAGGATATTCTGCCGCTGTCATTGGAGTAGAAGTTGTGATACCTCTGGATTCTGGAAAGCAAACACAGACAGGCTTGTTGCTGACTTTTATAGCATACATTTCAGGTCAGTCAGAAAACACTAGTGCTATGGAATCGGTTCAGATTCAATGCAAAAATGACTTGGACCAGGGATTGGATTTATGTGACTGTTTTCCAACCTCTGTTTGTCCCTTAGACTTAAACAGGCTGTTGTTTAAGGCTTTTGTTGGACTTTTAACTTTTATTAGATTTTGGAATAAAATACTTTTGCTTTGAGTGTCTCCATACCTTTATTTAGTATTATTATGTAGTATATTTTATTAAAATGAATATTTAATCATATTAAATATTCCATTTTATCATTACCAAAATAATTATAAATTACTGAAACTTTACCAAATGTTTTAGTAGTGATTGTTTCAGTAAAGACAACTGTAGCTAATTCAGAACTCAAAAAGCTCGCCAGTGAACTGTTGTACACACATAAAATCATAATATTTTTTTATTTGACCACAAAGTTTGTTTAATTGCAGAAAAATCAGTGTTTCAGTTGGGACAATTTATGATGTTATACACTGATTTTTCAGACTTTGGGATACATTTACTTCATAACAATGAGATCTAACTGCTCACCATGTGGCCATAAGGGTCAGGGATGCAGTCCCACTTCCTGCTCTAAAATGTAATAATATATAACGATTTTGCATATATTTAGCCTATTACTATTTCAATTAATGCTTTGGGTTTAAACTCATCATAACATAAATGAACAGAAGAGTTTAAAACTTTAACATTGTTTGCATACATCTTTAATCTGTTTCATTTCAGAAAAGCAAAGAAAATTTGGTTTCCCAGAATATGGACAATTATTTCTACACACCTTAAAACAATTTCACTATATTGGCCAGTAATATAGCTTGTTTTAAGAAATTTGCTTGAAACAATCCAAACTAACTGCAAATAATAGGTGATATAACATCAACACGTACAGAATATCTAATATATATTTTCACTGGACCCTAGGTGGCTGCCCAACTTTGCCTTGTACAAAGACCTCCCCTGTTTATATTGCAATTTAGAGTAATAAAAAGTACTGGAAGTGGGTTAGCATGTTTTATTTGTCTATTTAGCCCACATATTGTGAACTTTGGTTTAAAAAAGACCTAAATAATATCAGGCCAAAAAATCAGACACACTGGCTGAAAAAGTAATGACTCGCAGATGAATATCTTGTATTCTGTTTGAGTAAGGCACTCCAGTGAGGGGAAATCTTGTAAGAGTTGGGCTTATTTTTTATTGTAGCACTGCGACATTATATGCTTAAGAATTGTACTATTTTATGGGTAAACAATAATAATAATAATGATTTTGGTCTGTTATGTGAAAATCACATTACCACATCATTATTATTTGTACTAATGCACACTTTGTTAAGATCTCTTTATGCAAATTATTGAGCATGAATGATCTAAATTCCTCTTATTACTGAGTAATTGGCAGCATTTGATTCATATATATTCTATATAGTGTATATTTCTTAATTTCTACTTCAAGATGCGTTCCAGACATACTTAACATAGCAGTGATGTACATTTTGGCAAAATGTCGTGAATATGTATTACATTTTTATACAAATTAACTCCCTGAATTTGAAATTGACTAAAAAACTAAAGAATTTAGTTGACTCAACTTAGAACTGAGTTCAGATACTGCTAAACATAAACTGATACACTGTGACCTTAGGTCATGATTCATTCTAAAGAATTTGTATAACAAGGCCTTAACAGTAAAGTGATTCAAAGTGTCTAAGGCCCTGTCCATAAAATTAATAAAATAAACAAGATGAATGGTTGTGGAGTGGAGTTCAAAAGTCTGAGAGCGGAAGGGAAGGTACTATTAATAAACCGAGATGCTCTACATAAGACGCTTTGCCGGAAGGGAGCGTTTTAAGACGTTACTGAGCTGAATGTAAGCTTTCTGCATAGATTTTAGAACTGCAAGCTCATCCTAATTATCATATATTATACCCCTTGTTTTCGAGTGTCACCTTGCCCCTCGGAACTGAATTACAAGGGGTAGTGGTTAAAATCTTCCCTACGAAATGGGCCACACTTCAAATAAAGAAGAACATTACTTCATTAACAGGCTCCTAGCCCTGCCAGTCTGCAGAGGAGGGTAAAGTTCCTTCAGAGAATCGAAGAACTAGCATCTTGTTCAAATTTAGCAAGCTAGCTATGGAGACATCAGCATACTACTAGCAGTTTTTTTCTGCTTGTTATGATGAAAGGGACCATAATACATTGAAATGACATTAAACTAAGGTAATACAATGGTTATCGAGAAATCACTTTAATGCTCTTCTAACTGGACTGTCAGAAAAATTCAGTATTATACTCTATGTTCATGCTTGAATCACCATATATGGTTATGCTTAAGCTTAGAACTCTGTAGGCAGAAGAATTCAGACAGAGTGCACTGCGTACACTCTGGGGTCAGATGAAGGGCTCTCCTATCAGTAAGAAGTGGAAACAACCGTACACAGACAGGAGAACTTAACCTTTGGGTAGACTCGAAGAAAAGAGATGTATCGGAAAATAGATAAACCAGAAGTTAAAGAATAGTTCAGCGGAGTAAGAGTAAAACGTACATTTCCAAAGGTATAAGACAGGGCATGACCCAAAGCACTTTGAGCATTACATTCTAGACTTGACTCTGTGTGTAACTGCTCCCTTGCTGCAAGAATAAAAGCTTCAAAGACATCGGTGGTCTCAGGCTGATTATTTAAAGAAGACTTTTCTAACAACATCTCCTCCGCTACCCAGATACAGGGACCTGAACCACGCGGGGGAGTTTTAGGACTCCTGACAAGAAAAGACCTCGGGCACGTTCTCTCTGAGGACGTTTGAGCTTTCAAAAAGAGGCCAGGATCCTCTGGGTGGTGGAGAAGTGACGGGATCGTTCTAGAATCGCCGAGACACCGTACTTTGAAGGTAAGAAAAAGGGTTTTTCTTACTGGTTCATAAAAGCCCAGAATAGGCCATCTGGTCGTCGGTTGGGTGAAGATCCAACACGCGGGAAGTAAAGCCAGGTGAGGGAGTCTGGTCATTTATTAGGTGTTTTTACTAAGTCCTAGTAAGTGAAGACCGGAGGTAGCGCCCCGGCAATAAAGTCCGAAAGGCATAAAGTATTCGGGTGAAAGACCCCGAATGGTATTCAGGTGAAAGACCCTGAATGGTGTTCAGGTGAAAGACCCTGAACAGTTGTGTGAGTGTTGTTGTAAACGTAAAACTGCCAGTCTATGTGGTGGTTGTATTTGTGTAAGTGTTTTGGTACCGTTAAAAATTTTAACGTCATGGGTAATTGCTGCAGTTGTTGTTGTTATGACAAAGCGGAGCCCGGGCTGCCAGGTGATGTGAAGTTTTGTTCTAAGAGAAGGATAACGCAAATGGTTTAAAAGATGGAAAAATAAATATGGATTTAAAGGAAGGTTGAGTATGTCAGAATGTGAGAATCTGCTATCAGAGATAGAGAAGAGGGCTAAAGGAAGTTCAAAAAGGTTGGTAAGAGAAGGTCATAGTTCAGCCAAAGAATGGTTGGTAGAGGCAAAAAAGCACACAGAAGGTATAAGAAAAGCTACGGAGCTCAGAAAAATTGACGGGTTAACACTGACGGACAAAGAGGACGAAAATGCTGTTGGACGTAGACTTTACCCGCAACTTAATAGTCACGGGGAGACTGACCCACCACCTGGTTATAGTGTTGGTGTGACTGTACGTACTGACAAGGACAGTAAAAGTGATATCGCGTCCGCCCCTCCAGCACCAGTGACTCCCTCACCCTTGGCTGCTTTAGTTCCAACGGACGGAAGACAGCTGCACAGTCAGTTCATTCCATCCTTTACTTCTCTCCCCAGTTTTACGCGCTATCTTCCTGGGTTTTCCCCCGATGGTGCTGTTGTTAGAGATTTAAATAAAGAAATAGTTGAAGCCTACCCTATGATCGAAGTCCCAAACCCCAACCCCAATCTTGACGGCAGCAATCCCACTATGTTTGTGTTTAGACCTTGGACTGAGGAGGATGTAAGGAAAGCCACGGAAGGTATTCTCCATCCTAAAATGAAAATGGAAGATTTTAAAACTAAAATGGCAAATCTCTATACTAGTTATAGACTGAATGGCATGGAATATGAGCACGCGTTAAGACAAATTATGGGAATGGACTGGTGTCTGATTAGCGGAGATTGGAGTCCTTTTAACGGACAGGGTGTTCCATTAGCACATTGGGACCCCACTCTAAGTACTAGACAAGCTGCCCTGCTTGAGCGCATTGAAACCAAGTTTGCTCATATGGCTGACTGGTCAGAAATAAACCACTGTATCCAACGGGATGATGAATCAATCGCCGCATACTTCGGTAGACTTAAAGAGATTTTTGACATTAACAGTGGAGTACCTTTTCCACCAAATTCTATCAGTGACAGTCCTTATGAACAGCAGTTGAAAAATGCATTCTTTAAAGGTGCACTCCAACCAATAAGCAGTTTGTTACTAAACACATGATTGATAATCGCTCAGCTCAGTTAAACAACACCTTAGAATATGCTAGGCATGCTGAAAGACATTTCAAAGAGAAAAAGAAAGCCAAAAAAGCAACTCCATTTGTCTTGCAAACTAAAGAGGGTGAGGAAGTCTATTTTCAGGCTGAAGGAGGTGGAAGGGGTCGCGGAAGGGGGCGCGGCTACTTCGGAGGATGAGAAAGATCCGCCACTCCTACTCCAGGTGGGGACGCCTGCTGGGAGTGTGGTAAGGCGGGACATCAGGCCCGCTACTGTAAAAACAGACGCAAGGGCAACCGTGGGTCAATTGATCCCCCGACCAATGGATGGACGGCATGACTAGAGACGGCAACAGGTCAGACTGACTCTTTCATTTCCAATGACAATAGCAAAGATAGGGAGGGAGTTGAGGATGAGCCTGTCTGTCTAATGCATGTTGACACCTTCCTGCTCAGTTCAAAAACAAAGCCCAAAATAACTCTAGACGTGAAGGGTCAAGAAGTTACCTTCTTGTGTGATACTGGGGCATCACGTACAGTTATTCATCCTGACGATGTTCCACATGTTCAAATTTCTGATGATTTGATTTATGTCAAATCTGCCGATGGTAAAGTTAACCAAGCGTGACTGTCTATGCCTGTTCGTTTATTTGATCCCTGAACTGGCATACGTAGTCGCGACGCTCAAATTGTGCTTTCACCTGACGTTCCAGTTAATCTTTTGGGGAGAGACATGTTGGCTGATCTGCAGATCGCTGTGATTCCGGTCCTTGACGGGCTGCGGGCCCAGCGATGTGCAGATCTTGTATTGGTATTGGAAGACGATTCTTCTCCCCATTACTGGTATTCTTTAGATCTTGTCAACACGGGCCCAAGTTCGGTCTCCCAGGCCCTAGTTGACAAAGCCCGCGGAATGGGCTATGAATTGGCAGAATATATGAATCCAAATGATTTGCATTGAACAATGTTTTTCAAACACACCAGTGGCCGTGAGCCTAAATACGAGGAACGATTCTTTAAAACTCAATGTACAACCATTACATTGTCCACATTGTACTGGTCCGGCCGAGGAATGTGTGGCGCAGTATGCACATTGCAACCCGACATGCAAAAATTGCATCTCGGGCACACCGTGCCCCACATTTCTGTCTCTAAGGATCAAAAACACAACTGGAGTGACGTGGGTGTCTTCGTCACTGCCTGTGAACATGCTCGCGGTTGGTGAGAATATATGCCTGGGGTCGAACATTCTTTTGAGGTACATGCTTTCCGTATGCAATTAAACTGGGTCACACGTGGGACTCCGCGTGTACACTTGGCCAGCTCTGCAGGACAAGAACCATGACATGTTTTGTCTCTCACCGATTACGAAATGGCTAGACTGCATACTGTCCCTGAAAAGCTTTGGTTAAAGAACAAAGCGGATGTAGGCCTTATTAAGGGAATTTCTCCTGTTTCTATTACACCCAAATCCTCATTCCGACCACATCAGAGACAGTATCCACTTAAGCCAGAAGCTGAGGCTGGTATAGAACCTATCATTGCAGATCTGTTAAAAGCTGGAGTACTCATTGAGTGTCCTGACTCTCCGTGTAATACCCCATTGTTTCCTGTTAAAAAGACACCACCATCCACCGGCTGGAGAATGGTCCAGGATTTACAAGCAGTAAAATTCTGCTGTATGTTGATGATATTTTGCTTGCTAGTCCTGATAAGGACTCATGCTGGACTGACACAGTGGCCCTTCTCCACTTCTTGGCGGAGGGCCGCCACAAAGTCAGTAAAGACAAGCTGCAGCTTTGCAAAAAACAAGTTAAATATCTTGGCCACATTCTCTCCCATGAGGGCAGGCACATAGATGAGGCCCGTAAAAGTGCTATTCTGCAGGTGCCCAAACCTGAAACAAAACGCCAAATGATGTCTTTTCTCGGCATGGTTAATTAGTGCCGCAGTTGGGTCGCAAATCATGCTGAGATTGTAGCCCCTTTGACTGACCTCATCTACTCTAGCCCCATGGCAGCCCATGACAGCCTCCTCTGGACTCCCGAAGCCGAGGACGCTTTCATTCGTATTAAGCAACTTTTGGTCAGCTCATCCGTATTAGGGCTTCCTGACTACTCTAAATCCTTTTTTCAGACTGTAGATTGCAGAAATGGGTTCATGTCTTCTGTGTTGACACAAATGAATGGAGAGAGAGCTCGCCCTGTAGCATTTTACTCCTCTAAATTAGACCCTGTGGCTAGGGCTTTGCCTCCCTGTGTACAGGCTGTTGTTGCTGCCTCACTCGCTGTTCAAGCCTCTGCCTCCGTGTTTTTGTTTCATCATCTAGTTTTGCGTGTCGCACACGCTGTCTCAATTATTTTGCTGCAGAACAAAATTTCTTATCTCTCTCCCTCCAGACATTTGTCATGCATGACGACATTGTTGTCACAACCTCATCTGGAAATAGAACGTTGCACAGGGCTTAACCCTTCAACCCTTATGCCAAATGCCTCTGAGGGATCCCCGCATAGCTGTTTGGATGTTACAGCAGAAAATGTATTGCCTCGTGCTGATCTCAAAGATCAACCATTCGCCAGCCCTGACGTTACTATGTTTGTAGATGGCTCTAGTAGCAAACGCCCCGATGGCACTAATGCCACTGGGATTGCTGTAGTCACTAGTGATAGGTTGTTAAAAAGTGGAAAATTGCTAAGTCACCAGTCTGCACAAGCTGCAGAACTTGTCGCTTTAACTGAAGCATGTAAGCTCGCGAAGGGAAAGTCCGCCGTTATCTGGATGGATAGTAATTACGCCTTCTCCACTGTCCACATTTTTTGCCCAGCAATGGAAAAACAGAGGTATGATTACCTCCGCAGGTAAACCAATTAACCACAAACAACTTATTCTAAACCTTTTAGACTCAATTTAATTGCCTAAGCGTCTCACTGTTTGTAAGTGTGCTGCTCACACGCCACGATGACCCTGTCTCTAAGGGCAATCAGAGAGCTGATGAGGAAGCGAAGCGGGCTGCTCTTCATGCGGCTCACATCCTCTCTCTTAGTTCTGAAACACACACACACACACTTAGATGAGGAAGTACTGGCAGATATGCAGCGTGTTTCTCCTGACACTGAAAAACAACATTGGTTAAAAAATGGGACACAGGTCAATGCTTCTAACATCTACTCCTGACCCCTAGGAAAGCCTATCCTTCCAAAGAACTTATTTACGTATGCCGCTCTTTTGAGCCATGGCCCTTGCCATGTCTCAACAGGAGGGATGGTGCATACCATAAATCAAGTGTTCACAGCTTATGGGTTTACAAATTACTCAAAAACTTTTTGTCTAGCATGTGAGATATATGCAAAACACAACCCACAGAGGCAAATTTCCAAAACCACAATGGCCTTTTCAGCACATATGTATGGATTTCATAGAATTAAGTAAATGCGAAGGGAAAAAGTATTGCCTAGTAATTATAGATTCACTCACCAAATGGACTGAAATATTTCCCTGTGCTAATCCAGATGCATTAACTGTGGCAAAAGCATTAGTAAAAGAAATAATTCCTAGGTATGGGATACCTCAGAGAATCTATAGCGATAATGGCACACACTTTGTTAATAGCCTTATCACACATGTGGGTAAGGCGTTAAACATAGAACTAAAAAATCACTGTGTCTACCACCCCAATCAGCGGGATTGGTAGAACGACACAATGGTATTATAAAAGCTAAACTGCGAAAGACAATGACAGAAACAGGAAAGAACTGGGTTTATTGTCTCCCACTAGTAATATTAAACATGCACATAATGCCAGGAGAAAATGAGCTAACTCCTTTTGAGATGATGTATGGGAGGCCATACGTTATTCCCCAATTTAGAACTCTTTCAAAAGGAAGTGAAGAAGCAGAAGAGAGCTTAGCTATCTACATGAGAAACATGTTGAATAAACAAAATGTTCTCTCTATTAATAATCCTCCCGTACAGCTTGAAGGAGAACCGAGACCAGAGACAGAAGTCGAACCTGGAGACTGGGTTTTCATAAAGGTCATAAAGAAGAAGTCCTGGGCAGACCCACGGTGGGAGGGACCGTTCCAGGTGCTACTAGCAACCCCTACAGCAGTAAAAATAGCTGAACGCCCCTCCTGGATTCATCTCTCTCACTGTAAGAAAGCACGAGAACTTTCTGATCATGGTCGAAATAAACCTGCTTAGAGCCTCTTAAGGACTAGTCCGGCTACAAAGGGGCCCCAATAGGGCCACTCGTCTCAACACCAGTGAAGAAATTATTAAAGTCCAGAGACAGTAGTGGAGCAGATTCGACCATGACCAGACTGATACTGTATTACTTAATCATTACTGCCTATGGGCTCTATGTGATAAAGGGGTTTCATACTCCCATCTATCAGGGCAACCCGGTAAGGGGGGGCCCTCGGAAAATAGTTAAGACCCTGACAATGGAGTACCAGGAAGGTGTCACTGGTACTGTCAAATTTGATCTGTGCCAAATAATCAAATGTACAGACCAGAGAACTGGTTACATTCGGGCAGAAAAATATGTCTGTGAAACACCTCTGATAGACACTCCTGGGCTCACCAAGCGTGGCTGGTGTGATTATTGGAATGATGTTATTTGCAATTCTGGAATTTCTAGGTGGGAATACAGCCCTGCCAGAGCCTCCCATGGACCTGATCCCTTAAACCAACGTATGTCTATCTATCAAGGCCAGACACCCACAACCTGTTCCATGACTGTAACCCAATGTATCTCACCCTCACAAGACCAAAACCCTCTGATGCTGGTCTTTATGTACTTGGTGTTATCTTTCCGGACAAGATCCTTTAGGTCATTTTCAAATAAAAGTCACTCCAAAACCTTACTCACAAACTACCTCAAACATTACCTCAACCACTCCCATGCAAGATAATGCCACTTCTGGCTCTTGGCTAAATTCCACACGCTTCTCTATGTCTGAAAAATTAGCCATTGAAACATTTGTATTACAATCAGTTGCGTTTCATAAATCATAGCAGAGATGCTCTAAAAGCTGTCCATGAACAGCTGCAGGCTACATCACTTATGGCATGGCAAGATAGGATTGCCCTAGACATGTTACTGGCTGAGAGAGGCGGGGTATGTAGAATGTTTGGTGACTTTTGCTGTACGTTCATTCCCAATAACACCTCCCCTGATGGAAGTTTTACCAGGGCTCTCCAGGGTTTGGAAACCTTGTCCAAAGAAATGCATGATAATGCTGGTATCAATAACCCCTTGAGCTCCCTGCTTGAATCATGGTTCGGGAAGTGGGGTGCTCTTGTCTCTTCTGTTTTGATTTCTCTTGCCGTGGAAGCAGCACTCATCACCACCTGCGGGTGCTGTCTTATCCCCTGTGCGAGAGGACTCCTCCTGCGCCTCATCGACTCTGCCGTCACCAAGGTCATGGTATATGAGGACATGAACGAGTCCACCTACGTGCCCATGACTGTGCTAGAAGTTGAAGAACCCAACTTGTGAATAAAGGACAGTGATAGTGAATGGTTCATGAAGCAGCCTGTAAAAACCTAGCGGAGAGCAGGTTGTAGAAGTTATAATCCAGAGATACACACTGTTTTTAACCCTGATATGCTCTGATTTATGCTTTGCGTTTAAACCCTCACATATAGTATAAACAGGAGGGAAATGTCAGAAAAATTCAGTATTATACTCTATGTTCATGCTTGAATCACCATATATGGTTATGCTTAAGCTTAGAACTCTCAGACAGAGTGCACTGCGTACACTCTGGGGTCAGATGAAGGGCTCTCCTATCAGTAAGAAGTGGAAACAACCGTACACAGACAGGAGAACTTAACCTTTGGGTAGACTCGAAGAAAAGAGATGTATCGGAAAATAGATAAACCAGAAGTTAAAGAATAGTTCAGCGGAGTAAGAGTAAAACGTACATTTCCAAAGGTATAAGACAGGGCATGACCCAAAGCACTTTGAGCATTACATTCTAGACTTGACCCTTGCTGCAAGAATAAAAGCTTCAAAGACATCGGTGGTCTCAGGCTGATTATTTAAAGAAGATTTTTCTAACATGGACTTTCTAAGAAATCAATCTATCCTCTACACCTCATTCAAAATGTAGCAGCACGGATCCTAACAAAAATAAAACAGAGAGATTACATCAGTCCTGTTTTGAAACAGCTGCGCTGACTGCATGTATCGTTCAGGATAGATTTTAAAATTCAGTTATTATGCTTCTAACTTCCACTTTTTATTAGACAGTTAAGCTCAGGGCACACTTTTAAGAAACATTTAAAAACATATCTCTTTAAATTAGCATTCAACTTAAGTTCTATTTTTAATTTGATGTGTTATTCTCTGATATTGATTAGAAATTAATACTCATAATTAAACTCAATATTACTGCTAAGCTTTATCAACTAACTGAGCTGCCACTGGCATGCTTTGTTTATATAAATAAAGATTATTATTTGCTTTCTGAGGGTCTTCAGTCTCTGGCTGAAAGATCATATTATGAGACTGTTCCAAGTGAGCAGAAGCTACTGCCTGAAATGCTGAGTCTGCTGTCTCGCAACCACATTGCGGAGTTTGAGGAATCACACATCTCTAAAAAAGAGCCACATCACATGAAACATGCAGTACTGCTGTCTGATTGCTGTAAGGTCTCAGTAACATTTGTCTGGTTTAGAATAAAAACGGAATTACCTGTAATCGGTCCAGTGCTGGAGAGATGTCCAGTGCGTTTGCTGCTTATGACAAACTATTTCTAGCTGTAAAATTGCACAACATTCTATTCCTCTGAATGCTAGATTTAGTTCTCAGAATTTAGGAACAAGATGTGACGCACCCATACCTGTTGCAACATTTCTGCTGGCCAACAACTGTGTCATCTTTGTGTATTATTATTACTGAAATAAACATATAAAAAGCATGTATGCAAATGTGTGGAATAGCTCCGTTTTTTTATGGAGTGTACTTTCATAGTCTTTTTTTTTGTTGTTGTTTTTAATTGTGCAGTCGCTTAAATGCTAAATAACCCAGCATGTGGTCTCTTTCCACATATGCTCGGGTCCAGATCAGATTTACCAGTCGGGTTATCACAGCCCCTCTTTTAATAGATTTTACCTTGCATCTTCTCCTTACTTTACTCTTCCTTCCTATTTTACCTTAAAACATAGACGTTTTTCATTTAGTTTGCATTTACTGCAGGCTATACATGAGTGTAATGAATAGAAAGCTAGCCAGACAATACAGTACACTGTACTCTATAACACTGTATTCTACTGTAAAAGAGTAATTATTTAGTGTGATAAATGAAAAATGATAAAATCCGACTAATTTTTGAGAGTTAACTCATCTCATGATTGAATAGCCTACTACACACTGTAGCTCATAGAGCAGTGCTGAAGTGATCCAGTGCAAAGCAATTACCTACTTTAGCTCTTTATCTCTTTCTAGCACTTTATAAGCACTTGTCATTTCTGATGGTAAAAATCCAGAAAATTACAGTCATTTAATTTCTTAGAAATGCTGCCTTTTACTGCAATTCAAGAACTTTACTAGTTCAACTACAGTATTTTACCATCAACCATTAAAATCAATCAAAAATGATTTTGTGAATTTTCATTCAATGCAATATGTTATTTACATGCATTTAACATAAAAAATAGATATTTATTCAATTTAGCAGAACTTTCACAGTGAAAATACTTTTACATTTATTTTTTTTTATTATCTAGCACTGAGGTTTACAAGGCCCACACTTGTTAGAAACTGAAGGAGTAACTTTTCACTCATTAGTCAACAAATAGTTAATAACTAATTAAAGAACACCTTGTCATCATATAAAAGCATTTACACCACATTTCTAAGCTTGCTCAAAGATATGATTCTATTTACTAGGGCATTACTAATTGCTTGCTACTGCAAACCCTAAAATACAGTGCTATCAAATACTTAAGCACTTCTTATTAAAATTAAATAAAAATATTTTGTTGTTTTGAAATACACACTCCTCGAAAACACAAACAAGCAAGCCAAACTAAATTACAGGCA